AAGAGTCTCCAGACAAAAGACTCACTTGACCCAGAGATCCGGTGACTCCAGATCTTGCGGATTGGGCTCCATCGATTCCTATATGCACGACGTCAGCTCGTTCTTCCTTCTCTGTTATGAATATCACTCACATTCCCTTCATCGAAATCTTTTGCAGACACAGGCAGTGGGACACTCTGCAAAGAGGACACCATCAGCGGGACGCGTTTGTCTGGAGACGATATGTCGTACTTACAAGCTCATCGATGGACATGGACGTTCCCCAACCAGAAGCGGCACTCGCGATCTATCCCACAAAACGTCAGTAGAAAGCGCAGATTCTTAGGCAGAGCTATATCACGTACGGTGTCGTGGTAGAAAGCCATCCATACAGCTGCTCGCCGCTCTTCTCGTTCCAGGGCGTCTACGGCCGGTGGCAGCATAACCGATTTAAGCGAGAGCTCGGCGCTTCTTACGTTCAGGCCGAGGGGCAAAATCATTCGCGCCACCAATCCTCCGTATGCCCAGCACTCGAGCATCCGAGTGTCATCGATAAAGACTCGACAAAGGATGATCATGGCCCTTACAACGTCGAACAACCTGTTTCCGGTGTTCAAGCCGTCCTGCACAGCATCCTTGGCGAAAGCAGCTTGCGCCAGTCCGAATGAGTAGGCCGTTTTCTGGCCCTTCGTCTCCATTCCGGGCGGCGCGTACGCGCCCGATGTGCTGTACTCTTGCCATTCCCATTGCTTGACTCGGGAAGATTTCTCATAGACCTCGGGCGGACACCAAGCGGCGGCAGCAGCGCAGATGGCGTGAATGAGAGCAGGATGTGGGAAGTTGGAATGTGTTGGTGGTAGGGCCATTCGGGCTAAGAAACGTGGTCGATGAAGGAGCCGCTGCAAATTGGGGATCGACTTGAAGAATGCCTCGATGCTGGCAAGGTGATATGTGTGATCAGCAAAAGACGCAAGAAGCAACTGAGAATGGAGACTTCACTCACAGATCGTTGACTACGTTCGGTTCAGGTAGATTTACTGGCCATCCCGGCCAGAAGAGGTCCATGAGAAGCTGTTGTTGCATCGCTGCGTCTAGACCCGCTTGTAGACCGTCAAGATTGATATCCGTGTCCATGCCTGATCCCTCCTGAGTGGGTAACGGGTCCACGCCTGGCGCGGTGAAGCTTGACATGCTCGCTTGAAATACAGTTTCGATAGTCTCGACAGCCCGCCAAGGTCCATCCGTTTTCGTACTAGGCTGAAGTCCATCCGGACCTATTTGAACCGGAGGCCACTGAGATCCGAGGGTATGTTGAGAGGTGTCGATGGGTCCAGTGGGACCAGGCGAGAAGTTGAAGATACCATTTGGCGATAGCATGTTTGGTGGTCCTGAACTACTATCCCCCTCCGTCATACTGGAAGAATTGGGGTTTTGTAGACTTGATCTTCTCGAGTCCTCTGAGGTGATACCTGGAGAAACGTTGGAGTCAAAGGTATTTCTTGACGCTTGTTGCTGCGCATTGTTGAACATGAACATCGGCTTGAACCCCAAAGGGTTGTCTTCCTGAAGCTGATCCAAAGGTCCCCCTCCCCAGATCGGGCCCGTCTCTGCAGCAGCGTCCTGTGTTTGCTTGCTAGCAGTGGAAGATAGCATCTCGAGAAAGGCAGTCGGCGATGGGACGGCATCCGAAGGTTCTTGGTAGGGTTGCGCTGCGCTTGACCAGGAACGATTGGGCGGGATGTTTGTGGGCTGAGTAGCGTGTTCGGTGGGCGGTTGTAGCTGGTTCGTCAATTGTGCTTGGAGTTCCTCTGCTCCAACGAAGAGATTAGTATGGGACATAGGACATGTTGGATTGGATTCTTGACATACCAATCTTCTTGGTTAACCTATCTCGTTCCTCCTCAAATTCCTCGTCCTTCTTCTTTCTTTTCCCTTCACCACTCGCCTTTCGCTTCTTCTTCCCACCTCCATCATCTTCCTCCGGTCCAGTTGTTGCACTAATTGGCCCCTTCTCGGGTTCAGCGCTGTGTGAGTTCCCATCGTCGTAATCACAGCATAGAACGGGGTTGCTCTTCGGGGAGGTTCGGAGGAGGTGTTTATATGATCGGACACAGGTTGCACAGTGTGGTCGAGCCTGTAAATTGCAGCTATCAGTGACGGTTCTTGATCAAGTCGATAGCGATGATCGATATGACGTACTGCATCGCATTTCTGTTGACAGCATCGTCGCACCATAACAGTGCGGTTAGTGTTCATTCTTGTTCATGTCTGAGCAAAGCAAGGTCCGCACGCACCAATTTTCTCTTCCTGCACTGCAGACAAGCTTGATTTCTCCTCAACACGCCCGCGACGTCGGCATGCTGTGCTTGAGACGATGGCCCAGCGTCGGCAGCAGCAGGGGCGGTATCGATATGTACTGTGCGCTCATTGAATGGGACCCCCGCGGGCAGGGGCGGAAGGTGCGCATTGATCTTGAGCGGTGAGGTGGATGTGGACGTGGACGTCATATCGATGGTGTGTTAAAAGTATGATAAAGTCTGATATGACGAGCAAGATATCGAATGACAATAATCCTATCGATCCTTGGCTCAGACCAGAACGAAAGGATTGTCAAGGTCGCTGGAGATTTGTGATCGCTGTGGTTCGAGATGAATGGAGTTGTTTCACTTCGTGGCCCGCGCTCGCTTATCCAGTTGCGGTCATGGCATGTCCCCACAAGGCAGTATGGTAGATATGCTTCGGTATCACTATGATATGTGCACGACTCGATTACTGGATGGATGCCAGAATGGGTGGGGGGACGGTTCGTCTGTGTCTCTTGTAGGCCAAAGGCGCCGTGATTCAAGCTGCAGCGTGCGTGCTTACGGAAGATACGTTAAAGGGAAGAATAGATGGAGAGTTGTTCTACAAGGTGGAAGTCGTCAAAGGTACAGGATAGGGTTGTTGTTACGGTGAAAGATAACTTGAATGTGATCGGCAAAGACGCTTTCGAGTCGCTCTGGCTAACTCGGCTGCTATTATGGCAATGATCCGCACTAGTATATATTACTAGCGGATAGTCCGTTCGATCACGCGGCAGTCATTCCCAACTCCGTCAGGCCCAAGGCTTTCTAAGTAAGGCGTTGTGCAAGGAATGCGGCAGAGGGCAGAGCTGCAGCTGCAATTGGGCATCGCACAACATAGCGTACATCGATGCATACAGCACAGCATGGCCTGGCTAGTCTAGCGTCTAGGCGATAGCGATAGCAGCAACAGGCGTGAGTTACGAGTGTAAAGCGTCTCTTACACGTAATCTAAGGTACGAAACGAGGAATTGAGTACCTTTACATACTCCTTGCAGCATATGCTCCCAACTTTTTACCTCGGCCATCTCTCAATCAGCGTCATGCCCGAGGGGTGGATCTGCTATATAAGAAGAATGGGCACAGAGAAAAGGCAGAGAGGAAGAGAGCAGCGCGGACACTACCGATGATCAGGGAAACACGGCTAAGAGTAGTAAAGAGCGCGCGATCGTTGTATTGCAAAGGATAACTCTAAACGATCTAGACATGTTACCCTGCGTATCGTATCAGCGCTATACAAACAGTACTCGAGGTACTCGAGTACAGCTGGAGGGCCGGACTTCCGATCTGATCTTTTCTTTTCGGCTTCAAGGCACATACGGACGCGCGCCCCGAAGGAGTCCACACACAATTTGAGAATGTTTCAAAGCTAGCTATAGGTGCGTGCGAACTCGATCAGGCGCAAAAAGGGAGGTCGTCAAATGGTATGCCAAAAATAGTCATGAAAAGAGGCGCCGCCGAACCTCCGTTCGTCCTACCCGTTCACTGGAGGACGGTATCAGAAATCATAAAAGCCGAACGGACCAAGCCACAATGACCGGCTAGTTCCCACGGTACGGCACGGTACGGTACTATGTGATGTGTGAAGAAGCTATCAAGATCCCTCCTTGGGTAATGGATGATGGATATCGGACATGCAGTTCGCGCGGTCTCGTCCATCGATGCCCGCTTGCCCGTTTGCCCGTCCATCCGAATCTGATCGGGAGACGGCTCTTTCTCCGTATCTCGCCTTGCCCACGTGCGAGGCATTAACTCGAATCCCGGAGCCGGGACGTTAGCTAGCTAGGGAACGACGACATGAGTGTATATATATATAAGTTACGAGAATGGGGAAAGAACATGATAAGAACGATCTCTCACCTCCTGGTCGACTGATAAGTTATAAATCAATTAGCGACCCGTTAACGGGATTACACTTGCTCAAGTGAAACTGCTCAAAATAATGCATCCGCTCGATCGTACTGTGACTCCCGTAAAATAGTCCCTCGCGACGGCAAGAAACAGATCGGGGAGTTGCTGGCGCCTCATGCCATTCTCGCACCGACGGCAAGGGACAGACATGTGCAAGTGGCAACAGGTGCATACTCCTCACCTGTGTACGATCGAACGTGCTTATCGCACAGTTCTCGTGCTCATATAGAAGACCGCTGCTATCACCAGGCTATGTGATAGCGCAACATATGTACCCCACAAATCGGCTGAAGTTTGAGAGTGGGACCGAGAGAGACTGGTAGCGTGACGGAGAGCGATGCGTGGAGCTTTGTGAGCGGGGCGGGTAAGAGACCAGTCAAGGACACAGGCAGGGCGGTGAATCCGCTCGGACTCGCCGGAGGGATATCAACATCTTCAAATCCTCCAATTTGGTTGACATGAACTGGGTCGCGAGCAAGCTCATATTCAGATTCAAGGCCCAAGCAATACACAATGGCAGCTCTATCACTCGGCATGCCATAATAGTGTGAGTGAAATGCGCGATCAACCGCCCCCATCTCATTGACTTCATCCGCCCACTCCGGTCTCACTCGACATCCATTATATCATTCACTCACCCAACATCCGGTATTGAAGTGTATCTCCTGACCCCGTAGGAGCCATGAGTAAGCCCTGCCTGCTTACTCGATGGAAAAAGGAGGGAAAGTCCAAAAGAAGACGTCTTGTTGACGGATCTTGGACGACTACTGCCCTCAAGCAGATTCGAACTGCTGGCTACCGATCGCATACGTGTTATATGAGACGATTGATTTGACCTAAACTAATCGATGAGGGCATATTGTGGGCGGATTCTGGCAAATTGTGTTTGTATATAAAGATCTAGGTCAAGGGAGCGAAAAGGGATCGATGGTCCAAAACCTAGGGTTCACGGCGCGCAGAGGGCTCGTGATCACAACGACGAGGGTACGAATATACCGGGACCCTTGACATGGACCAATGAGCTATAGCGAATGAGGGAGGGATTCTGCAGGTCGGATATTGAAGGTCACAGGCCGTGTGCACGTGTCCGGCCATTATTGTTAACGGGTGCTCTCCACGTGAGAATAGTGTCTGTCGACCTCCACTTGGCATGTCCACCCTCCTGAGTGATTCGATGAAACGCACACTGATAAAATCCGGCAAGGTCTCTCTATCACTTGATGTATCATCCTGATGACCATGCACGATGCGGACAAGCAATAAGAAACTACTGATGCCTATACTTGGACATCCCACACGCTATTCACTGCGTGTCAGTTTTTTACGCTCGGCCAGATGGAGGTCGATGAGGACCGCTTCGATGAGGTTGTCGTAATCCTCCTCCCAATTGATGTACCGAGCGAAATGCGCTAACAATCTAAGACAAACTGATCAGCGGTGTTATGTGTGTGTGTGTGTGTGTGTGTGTGTGTGTGTGTGTGTGTGTGTGCATCTTGATACAAGATGTCCTTTCACTATACCGCTCATGTTACATCGTCCCAGGCTAAGCTAATGTAATGAAATTTGAGACAGTAATCATTAGTCCAGTCACCCAAGAGATCACAGCCATATGCAGCACTATAACCCATTAGCAGTTGACTCAGCCGACCGAAGAGCTCGACTGAAAGAGTCCTCAGTGATCAGTATTTAACATGCAGATTGATTCTCATCCTTTGCTCATTTCTGATCCATACGTCTTCTTCATCTGTTATCGCCATCGCTCAGATCAATCGTTCGAGCGCCTGCAACAGATATCTCGCCGTTCGCATCACCTCCGTAGTCATTACCATCAGCATCACCTCCAGCCTGGGTCTTAGCCTGAGCTTGAGTCTCGCCCCCATCCATACATCATTGTTACTACCTCGATCACCAGCATCACCCCCAGCTCATCACCACCGTCACCACTCTCACCATCACCATCACCATCACCATAACCATCACCATCTCCATCATCACTATCACTATCACCATCGTTCGCATCATCAGCCTCAGCCTCGGTCTCGATCACAGTCAGACCCCTGCCTCGTCGTCACCACCACCAATACCTTCCCTCGTCGCCACGATCAGACCCCTGTCACGTCAGCACGTTCATCAAATCTGACACACCCATCACAGCCCGCCCTTACTAATACCTCGATACAGTACCATGCCAGCTCGAGATATGGCTGCTCGTCCATTCCTGGAGGAACAGATAAAGATACTCCTCACGGTATTCGCACAGTATCAAGCTGAACTTCCCGGTCAGAAGTCCGCTCTCATATCGAACATGCAAGAGCTACATCGAAGCTTGGGAAAAGATAAGTTGACGAGGATTTTCTTTGACGGTCTACGATCAAAAGCTATCTTCGATGAGATTCGACGAACTGGCACTGTAAAACAGAGCACGATCGAAGCATGCCATCCAGACAGGATTACTGGGAGCTTAGAATGGAATCTCGGAGGCGTCTACGTAGATCTAGGACCGGCGAGTTCCCCCTTGACCGCAAGTACTGGCATTTACGTCGGCTCAGGATGTTCTCTAAAGACCAACTGGACGGGAGGCCGACAAGGCTTGGCTCATAGATGTCACAATCAGCACAACAATCCTTCGTACCGACAATCGCATCCGAGCTGCGCACATTATCAGAAGGGCTACGGTATCGATTCCGAGCCACATCGCTACCAGTGTCTCTGGGCATTATCCGAGTCAGACATCTCGAGCTACTTGGGATATGGTGTCAAATCCATCTACAGCACTGATGACATCCAGAGATCTGTAGCCAAGGAACTGAGAGAAGCCCTGATCGTCTCAATGGAAGCGATCCTAATCAAGATACTCGATGTGTATCACCATGCACTTCTAGACCTCATGTGCCTCGATGCAGGATACCGACCTATTCGATTACAGCATCCCGCCTATAATAGAGCGAGCGGTTTGGAGCATGGCGGGGATCGAATCACAAAGGCGAACGCTAAGGAGATGGGCAGAAACGGGGGCATAAAGGGGGGCAGAAACGGGGGCATAAAGGCTATTTCTGCGAACATGTTGAGATGGGGCGCACTAGCGGGCCGTCCCGGAGAAAAGATGGGTCTTGGTGCATGGGAGCGCTGGATGAAAGGAGATGAAGTGAGCTCACGTGTCTGAAGAGCATGGCTGATATTTAGTATATGGCGTTGAAACACAAGATGATGGGCGACAAGAAGTATCTAAGAGATGTGAGGATTATGTTCGACGGACTGAATGGAAACGGGTGGAAGGTAAGTTGCTTGATCCGTCACCTGGGTGGGTGCATGCTTCGAATGTGCCAAACGCAGAATGCTTGCGGAGAAGCGGGCCCGATCTGAGGAGGGAGGGGGGGGGGGCGGGGAACTTGATCAGACGTCACGCGGACAACCCCTTGGGGTTGTAGCCATGTACAGGCAAATTGAAGGGTCAGTAGCTGTGAGGACCTGTGGCTGACGTGATTTCAGAGCGCGTACTACAACAAGGAGGGACTCAAGATCACCGAGTCGAAAACCATCGTCAACGCGATCCAGAAGATTGAATTTCCTGGTGTTCCTTCCAATCTCATTCCCTCTAGCGGCGTGCGAATCTTCCTACGATGTCTGAAGCACACCATGCCCGCGACGACGCAGCTTCGCTGGTGGCTGATCAACCCAGGCCTAGTATTCGATCCTTACCGATGCACTTTACTTGGCTGGAGCGAGAACGAGGTCGGAAGGATGACCAAGATTGTCACGCTCGATGCTGCATCCATGGACACGGTCAAGGCGAGACCCAGATGTTTGAATGACTTGCAAAAATGGATTGTGGCCATCAAGGCCCTGGAGCTGATGTGGAATTTATTGCTCGATTCGGAATAGGAGAAGGAACGGATGGACATTCTCAATCGTAGTAATGGACTTTCTAGGTAACGGCATATCATGGCTTCTCAGCATAGTTTGAATCCACAGCACTGGAGTTAGCGTTGTAACTGTTGTAATCATCGTACCGCACCGTCACATGTCTCTGGGTCATCGCGAGTAGATTCGGTCATACGTCAACATGTCATGTCACGTCATAATACAATGAACAACCAAACGACTGAGCCTTCGGATACAGTACTACAGTCTGACATCCTTTTGCAACTAATCGATGAGGGCAGACTCTCTGAGGCCAAAAATGCAAAAATATAAACAAAAGACCAAGAAATGAAGGAGCTAGGGACGGAAGAAGGGAAGGAAGGGTCCGATGGCGGCGAAGCGAGGTTTGATGGCGCCAAAGGCAGCCCTGATGGCGCGAACGGTCCTTCACCCACGTGGAGCACTCGGACAGCCCCTGCAGACGCAGGGCTGAAAGGGTTGTCGAAGCGAGGCTGTTAAGGGGTGTTTGAAGAAAGATATGGTTAGAACGTGACGACGACAGGATGTCTGGTGGCATTGACCACAGGGTTGGTGGCCATGGCCGCCACACCCACCCCGCACGCACACCCTCAATATGCGAGAGATTCGCTACGGTGACCCTGGGATAATCAGGTAGTCCAGTAGGGAATATATTACACTACCTAAAATCATCTGGCGGAATCGCACTGATAGCATTCTACATACCATTTTGCGCTCAGAAGATAAGACCTGGATGTCATATACGATCCGATGGGCCGAAAGTCTCGCCGTTTCCGCGTGATATCGGCTTTATCGCGTGCATTTCAAGGCAGCATCACCCATTGCGAACTATGAATACAGATGAATACATCACAACATCTCACATATTTGACATCACGCTACGTTGTTGGGGATACAATGGCAATGTCGCTCACGACAAGAATATCGAAAGGAAGACGCGCTCTTCCTCCCAGGCCACCAACCCTTCTCCTACTTCTTCTGGCGCAGGTTCTCCGTGTCTCGCATTCAAACAAGGTATCACTAGAGCCTCAGAGCCTCACATCGTTTGGCATCTTCCTCATGCTGAAAGGACCAGTCTCGATCGATCAGCTTTGCTACTAACGCAGTGTTCCTCTTAGCAAGCCTAGCAAGGGGTGAACACTCACGCCTGCCTGACACCGAGGTCTCCTAAAACTTCTTCAGCTCCACCGAGAATGGCATCAAACTTCTGAGTCCTTTGGAACTGCTCAATGAACTTGCCCATACCCGTCTTCGTCAGACCTCGACCACCGAAAATGTTGACAGCGTCATCGGCGATCTCGCCCGCGAATCGGGTGGACTGCATCTTGAGGAAAGCGATTTGGCTTACGTTCCGTCACCGAATTGATCAGCATCCTCGCAAAGATAATCTGATTGAGCGCACGCTGAAACAACCAGTGCGGCTAAGAAAATGCCCACTCACCCCGCAAGGTTCCTCGACTGCTCCTTGTAGGTCATGTTGTTCATCTGGTACGTGACGCTCTCAAGCCAGGCTTGGATCGCTTCGACCTTAGCAATCATACTTGCGAATCTGGCGAACAGCAGTCTTCCGTCAGTTTCTAGATACCAACATCATCACGCCTAGGAAGCCTGCCTGCACGTACTTGGCTCGGATAACAGCTTGTGCGAGAAGGGGTCGACCGAAGACTTCTCGCTGAGCCGCCCACTTCAAGCACTCTTCGACTACCATTCTGGACGATCTGGCGCTGGCGCAGCACATGACCCATCGCTCGTGCTGCGGTCACAGACATATCAGCCGACGTGCATCAACATGTGGGGCGAGAGTCTAGTCTTGACTTACGTTGAAGTTGGAGAGGATGACGAGAAGTCCACCATCCTCGGGTCCAAGCATGTTCTCAGCCGGGATCTTGACGTTGTCGAAGGTGATATAAGCTGTGCCGGCGGCGGTAGAGTAGGAGGTCTTGATTTGTTTGGTTT